TTTTTTGTGCTTAAACTAGTGTATACTGTGAGTCTTAGCTAAGAACCTGGTGAGTATTTGAGACCAAGTAGTAGAAGCATATTCATCTTGTAACTAGCATGTAACACATGATAGGTGCCTGTCTAATGATTTATTGAGTGATATGTAAAATATGTTTTTCCTGTGAGCTATTAAATAGAATTTAAAGATCTTAAGAAAGTATAGGATGAGACAGTTGACTGAGGACACCATTTCCAAGGTTAATAGTAACAAATGATAATTTTTCAAAATTATTCAGGTGTTCACTCACCCTCAGTCTTTTCAAGACCATGCTTTTCTACCTTGTCACTATAACATATTTTATTTCTGAGTTAGAATCAAGTCTTTCTGAAACCAACATACTATAGTTGCTGCATTTACTTCTTATCTGTGACTTACTTTCAGTTCTTTTGCAGACTGGACTTCTGATGAAAGTTCAAAAAATATTCATGCTATACCTTAAAGCCAGATTAAGATGTTTTGAGAGATTCTTTTTAGAGATACTAGATTTTTTGTTAGATTGTGAATTATCAACTTCAGGAACCTGCAAATGTCTTGGGTTCATTATTGGTGGTATAGAATTGGCCTCTTTTAAGGCGGGTTCAAATACAGAACCTTGAATAGTTTTTTGTTCTGAGTTGGCTGCTGTCCAGCTTGCAGAATTCTTTTTTTTTTAGAGCACAGCTGCTGTATTTCAAGAGACTGGGAAATTTTACTTTGGTGGGAGAGTAGAAGAGTAATTTTTTAAGCTATACTTCTCCTTGGCACTGCCTAAAATCCTCATTCCTAAACTTTGCTTACCTAAATTTCCTTATTCTCTACCAAACTCTTAGGGAGTTCATTCATTGCCCCTTCCTGATACTATTTTATTTTTCCCTAGGGAATGGGAGCAAATCACTATCCTCAGGAATTGTTTGTTGAATGGGAAGTGATTAAGTATGGTTTTCTGGGTTTTGGGTGGTTTCCTGTCTAGGATTACCCCTGCTCCTGTACATCTCTCAGAGCTCAATGATGCGGTTAAAGATCCTAAGGTTAGATTCTTTCTCTTGTTACAAGTAATCCAGAGCCAGTAACTCATTCTCAAATGAGTATGTCCAAAATAAGTCAAAGTCAAGACAACAAACTGTATTACAAATAGCACTAAAGCAAAGGCAGGTAAAATAAAAAGAAAAGCCTAACAGTTTTCCCAAAAGATTGTGAAGTTTAACAATGTGAAATGAACCAAAAGCTTCCTTAAAAGGACCCAGTGGAAATACCAGGTATAAAAAGTGTAATAAGCCAGCTGGTGGTTCATGACTATAACCCTAACTACTTGGGAGGCTGTTTTCGGGAGGATTGAGGTTCGAGACCATCCCAGGCAAATGGTTCATGAGACCACATCTCCAAAGTAACTAGAGCAAAATGGACAGGAAGTGTGGTTTAAGTGGAAGAACACTGCATTGCAAGCACTAAGCCCTGAGTTCAACTCCAACCCCACAAAGTATAATAAAGTAAAAACAACAGATAACGGGATTAAATTGGGATTTTTTTAACATCAAGGAGATGTTAGTGAGTTGAAAGATCATAATTAAGAATTATTCCCATTGTAGGAACAGACAAAATGAGTGTAAAATAAAAATTAAGAAATGAAGATTAACAGAAGTGCTTTTACTCCCAAGATCAGGACAAGGATACCTGCTTCTCTTTTATTCAGCAGAGTTTTAGAAGTTCTGGCAGTCAGGCAGAAAAAATAAACACTTCCAAATTGGAAGGAAAGAATAAAATTATTTCTCTTTATGTAGAAAACCCGTAGAAAACAAGACAAGAATAAAACCTTGAGCTAATAAATTAATTTGGCAACGTTGTAAGATATAAAGCACTTGTACTTCTATACATGAGCAACGAACAGTCTAAAAACGAAATTAAAACAATTCCATTTACAATAGCATCAAAGACAATAAAATACTTAGGAATAAATTTAACCTAGGATGTAAAAGTTACATACTGAAAACTACAAAACATTGTTGAGAGAAATAATACCTAAGTAAATAAGATGTCCCACTTTAAAGGATTGAGAGACTTCAGAAAACAGTACTACTCAAAGTGAGCTGCAGATTAAAAGCGGTTCCTATCACAATCCTACTGTTCTTTGCAGAATTAGAAAAATCCATTCTAAAATTCATGTGGAATCTCAAGGGACCCCCCCCCCCACATAGCCAAAACAATCTTGAAAAAGAAGAGAAATTAGAGGACTCACACTTCTTGATTGCAGAACTTAATACAGAACTATAATCTAGAATTGTGTTTTTACTTTATTATCATAAAACAGACATAGACCAATGGAGTAGAATAGAGAGTCTAGAAATAAGCCCTTGCAAATATGGTCGAATGACTTCGCACAAGGATGCCAAGAACACTGAATGGGGGAGAAACAGTTCAAATAGTTCAGGAAAACTAGATTATCCACATGCAAAAGAACTAAATTACATTCTTGCCTTATACCATATATAGCACTTAACAATGGATCATTTACTTAGGTTTGAGCTCTAAAACTATAAAACTGGGAAAAAAATATAACATTAGAGTTGGCCATGATTTTTTTTTGATAGGACAACAAAAGCACAGACAAAACAGTAAGTATTTATCAAAATTAAAAGCATTTGTGCATTAAAGGACACTGCTCAGAATAAGAGACACCCAATAGACTAGAAGGACATGTCAGATACATAACAGGATTAATATCTAGACTATATAAAGAACTCCTATAAACCAATAACAAAAGCACTGGTGACTGTGGCTCATGCATGTAGTCTTAGCTACTTGGGAGCCTGAGATTGGGAGGATTGTGGTTCGAGGCCAGCCCAGTAAATGGTTGTCAAGACCCCAGTCTCCAAAAATAGCCAGAGTAAAATAGGTTGGAGGCATGGCTCAAGCGGTAGAGTGGCTGCTTTGGAAGCATGAAGCCCTAAGTTCAAACCCCAGTTTTGCAAAGAAAAGGGGGTGGGTGACAAATAACTTAAATACAGACATTTCTAAAGAAAATACACAATTGTTCAAAAAAGCACATGAAAAGATTTTCAATATCACTGATAATTATAGAAATACAAGTCACAGCCACAATGAGATACTCATTCAAACCCATTAAGATGGCTGTTTTTAAAAAAAAACAAAAATAACAAGTGTTGGTGAGTATGTGAAGAAACTGGAATCCTGTGCATTATTGGGAATGTGAAGTGGTATAAGGATTGGGATGCATTTCACTGGAAGGGCATTTCCAAGGCCCTGAGTTCAACCCCAGCACCCCCCTCCCATAAAAAGTATAGCTCCTGTAGAGAAGTTTGGCAGTTCTTCAAAAAGTTAAATAGAATTAGCATTTGACCCAGGAACTCCTCTCCTAGGATATCAGGAATATACCATAAAATACTAAAAGAGGGACCAAAACTTTTATACCAATGTTCAAAGCAGTATCCAAACCCAAAAGGTAGAAACAATCCAAATGTTTATCAACAAATGAATAGATAAGCAAAATGATGTTTACATACAATGGAATATTATGCAGCTTTTAAAAGGTTTTAAAAATGCTTTGATAAATGCTACACCCTGAATGAACTTTAAAAGCACAAGTAAAATACGCTAGAAACAAGAGGCCAAGTATTTATTTGAGTCTACTTAATTTGAGATATATAGACAGTGCAAAGTCATAGACCACAGAAAGTAGGAGAGAGGTTACTAGGTCTAGGGGGAGGGGGACAATGGAGAGCACTTATTTAATGGGTATGGAGGGGTATAGAGTTTGGGTAGTATAAAGTTCTGGAAATAGTGGAGTTGTAAAACATGGTAAGTATGTTTAATGGCACTGAATCTTTTTAAATGGTTGAAATGGTCAATTTTATGTTATTTTTTTTTTCAAACAAGGAGTGGGTCTGATGCTTGTAAAGTTGGGTCATTGTACTAGAAATTACCATTTGGGCAGATAATGTAAGCACTGAATGAGGGTAGTTTTGTGAATAAGCTCAGAGAGAAGATTGTTAACAAGAAGGTGGAATGTCTGGTTTATCTGGTGGGTGTCATTCCAAATAAAAATCCAGATGTGGGATATAGTCCTCAGGGAATTTGAGTCTGGGAAATGGGCAGAACAAAATTCAAATTGTTATTCATCTTTTTTTTTTTTTAGCTTTGTAACTTTGTTAATATGCTAAAGTTTCTGAATTTTTCTCTGTTATGTATTAAGTGGACAAGTAAGCCATAATTTTCAGTGTTATTGTGAAAATGAATTTTTTTTAAAGTATAGGTAACCAGCATTTAGGTAGGAAACTTAAAATGACAAAAATAGAGGAGGAATGTGTGATGAAATACAGATTTATTTTCTAAGATTTTTTTTTATATTTACTATTTTGTACCTTACATTCTCTTGTAGTTTAAGACTGATTTTTCTCCATCAAATGTTCACTGACTATTCTTGTCTCTGTGAATATCTCTTAAAAATTTTTTTGCAGTGTTGTTAGTTCTATATGATTTCTATTTAGTTGCTCTAAGTTTTCTTCTGTTTGCTGTTTTCAATTACATTATGGGCTCCTTTAAAATAGGAGCTCTTAAAAATTGAGAAGACAGGTCTGGGGGTGTGGTAGAATGTGTGCTTAGTATTTGTCTGGCCTTAGGCTCAACCTCCAGCAACCACCCCCCCCACCCCCGCAACTGCGAAGATAAGAATTTCTCCTTATTCACACATAGCATGAGGTGTACAGATGTTTGTCCTCAAAAATTGCTAATATTTGTTGGTTGATAGAAAGTAATACCCCCTAGGAAAATACATATAGATCATAAATTTTCTTTCAGCCTAAGGTGGTTTATTAGAAAACTACACTGTTTTACCCATCGTCGGTAGTGATACTTTTGGTATGACAAGTAATACTTTTATCTTGTATAACTAAAATCAACTTCTGTTCAGGTATGTTGATCCTATAAGTCACTTACTGTTTACTTTTATTTTCTTGCCATTTCAGAAAAAAGCCAAGGGACAAGAGCTATTTGATCAGATTATGTATCACCTGGACCTTATTGAAAGTGATTATTTTGGTCTGAGATTTATGGATTCCGCACAAGTAGCAGTGAGTAACTTTTACAGGTTCCATTATGGGTACAGAAATGGAAAGTTTCATATTGATGGGCTAAGTTCTAGAAGGCATTCTTTATTTGGTGTGATTCCTGTAGCCTAAAGCTTTGTTCTTTTGCTTTAGAATCACCTGACATACTGGTTAAAAATGTGAATTATGGTCCTAACCTGAACTACAAGAGGAAAAATTTTTGGAAATCTATACTTTTAATAACTTTTGCTAGGGTGTTGAGTACACTAAAGTTTGGTAACCATTGTCTGATGGAAAGAATGCTAGAACTGGAATTCTGTGGGCTTTTGGGTAAGCAGTATAAGTTTCTAATTTGTAAGTGAAGGTGAATAGATCAGGTCTGTGATTCTGTGTCTATAAATAGTTACTCTTTGTACATTTTAGATGAGAAATACCGTCTGTAACAAATTTGGAGGCTAGTCAAAGAACTGAGTACTGTTTTAGGATTTGCTGAGAGTATATTTGAAAGAAAGTAATGGATGATAGGATTGAAAGGTGGATTAGTGGCCATATCATTCAAACTGAACACCACAATTATTAAATAATAAATTGGCAGTACTTATCCTCCAATAATTAGAATTAGGTATTTTTCAGGCAGCATGGTTGTCTTTTGTTTCAGGAAGTTTTATGTAGAAATCCTGTGTAGGATTATTTAGAATAGTCAGAGATTGGAAGTCAGGAAGAGTTTTACAAATACTTTGATGATACAAGTATTACTAAGCTCCAGATAGTAGTAGACAGAGGGAAAGAGCAAAGACAGAAAGTATATCAGTACATTAAGGGGTGTGTGTATGTGTGTGTGTGTGTTTGGAGATGGATTTCTTAGCTGGCTGTATAGAATATCTTGGCTAAATTTTTTTCCTGATTTGCCCCCCTGAATTAAAACAGAATTAAGCATGAGCATTTAGCCAACAGGATATTAGTTAGGTAAATACTTGTGTATCCTTACGGTGAATACTATGCAGCTGATTAAAAGTGGTGGTTTTTTTAAAAGTATGCTGATTCTTATTCATGATAAAAATAGTCAAAGGGATTATAAGGCAGTATAATTTATTTTTTTATTTTTAGAAAAATCTGGATATATGATGCACATATGTCTGCACTGAAGACATTAGTAAAGCTCCCATAATTTCAGCGTTCTGATGTCTTGGTGGTGGTAGTATGGGAGATGTTTCTTTTCTTTTTCCTCATTTTCATTTTCTTTTCTTCCATTTTTTTTTGTTTTTTTGCAGTACTGGATCTCACACCCAGGGCCTTTGATGTGCTAGACTAGCACTCTACTGCTCAGCTACATTTTCAGTCCTATTTTTTTCTTTTTAATGTTCTTATTTATCTTCTACTTTAAGCTAAATTCACAAAATGAGTCTTACTTAAACTCCATTGTCTGTCATGTAGCTGGCACACAGTGTTTATTGAATTCACTTCTGTAGCTGCCACTTAGTTTGATAAGGGTTGGTTGGCTAAGTTTACTATCATCTAGCTTTCACTTTAGAATAACTGAGTAAAATCTTGCAATCAGATTTGCAAGAAAATCAGAAAAATAGATAACATTAGTGGTAACAAATTCTTGGCTTTCTGGTGTTTTGAGGGAGTGTTGGAGGGAAAGAGGCAAAAGTATGCCAATGTTAGATTCAGAGAAACTATAATCTTAGTCTCTTTTTAAAATTATTGCTTTTGATTACATTGAGTCCTTTTATGTTCACATATGTATACTTAATTTCATAGTTGAAACAGTCTAACATATACAGAAATGTTCCAAGAATATAAAAATGACCATTTTTCTGGAACCATTTGAGAGTTGCAGGTAACATGTTCCATCATGCCTAAATTCTTTGTTTTCCTGCAAATAAGCATGCTTCATAAGTCAATATAACCATCAAAACCAGGAAATTAACATTGTGATACACCATCTAATCCACAGACTCTATTCAAGTTATTCCAGATATCCCAGGGTGTCCTTTATAGCTAATAAGGTCCAGTTTAGAACCATAGCTTTGCATTTGGTTGTCATGTCGTTTAGTTGCCTTCAATCTGGGATATTGGATTCCTCAGTTTTTTCTTAATCTTAATGACCTTGAAACTTTTGAAGGTAGAAGTTATTTTGTAGTCAGTTCCTTGAATTGGTTTTATCTGATGTTTCCTGATAAAGTAGGTTAATCTTAGGCACCTTTAGCAGTAAAATAAAAGAAATTCTGTATTCTTATTCTGTCCTATTAGATGTCATGTAACTTTGTGTCTCATATTGGTGATACCAACTTTGGTTCTTTAATCATTTGGTATGTATCTGCCAGAACTTACCACTATGAAGTTGATCTTTTTTCCCTTTGCAGTGAATTATTTTGTAGATAGGTATTTTGAAACTGTTCCTCATCAAAGTTTCTATTTATTTATTTATGAGCTAATAGATTCCTGTTTTATTCTATAAGTTATCTGTTCCTATTGTTTATGAATCTTTCTGGTTTTTGTTTATTTATTTATTTATTTATTTATTTACTTACTTACTTATTTATGTTTGGTTTTCTTTCTGGGTTTTTGAGACAGGCTCTTGCTCTGTAGCCCATACTGGTCTCAAACTTGTGATCCTTTTACCTTAGTCTCCTGAATACTGGGATTACAGATGTGTGCCACACTCTGCCTGGCTTACTATCCTTTGTTTTTATGCTTAGGTTTTTCGTCTTTGACTAATGGGTGCTGTTTCAAGACTAAACAAAGATGTTTAGTATGAGCATATCATTCTTTGTGCATTATCTTGCTTTCTGGCCCAAGAAAATGTTCTGTGTTCATTTTGCATTTCCCTGCTTTAGCCCTAGAATTAGCCAGTTCTCTAGTGAGCATTGTGGCCAGATTTAGGGAAGGTATGTTTGCATATATTCCTTTGTCTACACATACATATTCAGTGGCACCATTTCAAATCTATAACTTCAGTAGTTAACTCCTTCACTTAGAATGGGGTTATATCCTGATAAGCCTATTATAAATTGGAAATACGGTGAGATGAAAATGCATTTAATACACCTAGCTACTGAACATCATGGCTTGACCACACAGTATACTATAGAGTACTGGTGTTTACCCTGAGATCTTGTGAACTGACTGGGAGCTGTGGCTCCTTGCCTTGTCTAGCATTACAAGAAATAATTCTACTGCTTAATCATTAGCTTGGGAAAAGACCAAAATTGGAAATTCAAAGTTTGGTTTCTGTTGAATGTATATTGCTTTCAAACCATGTAAAGTAAAAAAAAAAAAATTGTTGAGGACTGTCTGCATCTGACCAATCACCCTATATGGAACCATTCTCTAGCCTCTTCTGTGCAGATGCTGGTCTTGTTCATGCTACCTGATTACTTCTAGACTGTCTTATTTGTGAGTACTTAGAGCTTATGTAATATTCCAGTTATTTACTAATATGCAATGATATATAAAGCACTTCTTTGAAGATAAGTGTTGAAAAGTTATCTCTAGAGATACGGTTTGGAGTAGGAGAATTACAAGACAGAAGGCATACTAGAATAAAACAGAGTTGATTTTATTTAGAATGGCCAAGTAATGTTTTTGTCCAAATTTGACTGCTTTTTAAAAATTGAGATATAATTTGCATACTATAGAAGTTACCATTTTAGATTGTGTAATTCATTTTTAGTATATTCATAATTGTGCAATAATCACTTCTAATTTCACAACATTTTCATCACCCCTAAAAGAAACCCTGTATACATTATTATCACTCTCTGCTCACCCCTCTTCACAGACTCTGACAAACACAAGTCTTTCTGTCTGTATGGATTTGCATTTCTTGAACATTTTGTATAGATGATCATCTGTTATGTAGCCTTTTGAATCTGGACTTACCATAATGTTTTCGAGATTAATCCATGTTGTACTTGGATTTCTCAGTACTTGATTTCTTCTTATGGCTGAACAATATTCCATTGTATAGATAGGCACATTTTATTTATTCAGTGATTGATGGATATTTGGATTGTTTCTACTGTTTGGCTATTATTAATAACGCTGCTCTGGACATTTTTTGCAGTTTTTTTGGGAACCTTATTTTCAGTTCTCCTGGGTTTGTACCTAAGAGTGGAATTGTTGGGTCATACGGTAACTCCGTTTAACATTTTGAGAACTGCTTAACTGTTTTCATACAGTAGGTACACCATTCTACACTCCCATTAGCAGTGCATGAGGTTCCAGCGTGCCAGTTTTGCCACATCCTCTCCAGTACATTATTTCCACTTTTTCATCTAGTGGGTGTAAGATGATATCACCGTGTGGTTTTGATTTGTACTTCTCTCATGATTAATGACATGGTCATCTTTTAATGTTCTTATTTGCAATTTACATATTTTCTTTGGTGAAATGTTGATTTGAATTCTTTGTCTACTTTTTAAAGTGGTTGGGTGGGTTGCCTTTTTACTTTTTTTTTTGTGGTACTGGGTTTTGAACTCAGGGCCTCACATTTGCTAGGCGGGTGCTCTGCCACTTGAGCCACTCTGCCAGCCTTGTCTTTTTACTTTTGATTTGTAAAGTTCTTTAAATTTTCTAAGTACTCAACTGTTCACAGATGTATTATTGGCAAATACTTTCTCCCTTTCTATAGGTTTTCTTTTCACTTTCTTGAGAGTGTCCTTTGCATGAAGCAATGAAATCCAGTGTAACTACTTTTCCATGGCTGTTTATGCTGTTAGTTTCATATTGTAAACTTGTGCCTATTCCAAGATTACACTGATTTACACATACATTTCCTTCTAAAAGTTTTATATTTTTAGCTCTAGAAATAAGTCCATTATTCATTTGGAGTTAGTTTTTGTATATACTGTAAGGTAGGGGACCAGCTTCATTCCTTTGCCCATGGGTATCCAGTGGTACTAGCACCACTTGTAGAAAAGACTTCTTTCCTCATTGAATGGACTTGGCATACTTGTGGAAAATCAGTTGACCATATGTATATATGGGTTTATTTCTGGATTCTTTGTTCAGTTCTC